ATATGCTGACTCTCTGTAAACCGCTTAGAGAGGCCTGAAAGGCCTATGAAGCGGTATATAAGTCTACTACTGCTATATATTGGCTGTTCTTAATGACAGGACCTATGTTCTTTTGTATGTTTTTAATAGGTGTTTGGTGTTAAATTGGATTTGTTTAATGAAAGCCAAGTAGAGGAAAAAAATTCTTCTAGCATTCCACAAATGTTTCAGAGAAATGAGTTACAGTCAATATCTATGGGAACACAGCACCATCTATTGAAATGATGGATAACAACAGGTGGAAACTGTTGCTTCTGGGAACCAAGTTGGGAGGGCGAAAGAGTTTTTTGCCTTAAGAAAAGAAAGAGGGGGAAGAAAGGGATGTTTACTGTCCAACATTTATCTCCTTTTTTTTCAAGGAAAAAAATATCTTTCTATCTTTCTCATCTCTGTTTTAAAGTAAGGTGAGCATTCATTCATATTCAAATGCAACACATAACCACAGATTAAATATTGGGGGATGGGAGTTCTTGCCATACTTTAGAATACTAGAAGCTGGCACTTCCAATCTGGTGCCAGTTATTTAATTCCTTATCTTTGCTGCCAGCAGGACCGTGTTGGCTGGCAAAAAGCTATGCTTAATGCATGTCGACAGCATCATCTGAAGTGAAGATGCCAACAGGCATAAGTAGCATGTCTAGGCCATTCTATGTCATCAATTTTCTATTTTTCTTTTCACTTGATGCTGAATCTTTTGAAGCTACTGAGTAGGCTTTGTTTTCCTCTGACTACATGTCTCCCTCCTGCTTTAGCTCTGCTTGGAACAGGAACAGAAAACAATTGGAGACATTTTCCAATTGCGATTCCTATAATGCCTCGCCATTAAGCAGGCTGGTGGGAGTTCAGATTCAATAACTGAATGAGCCCACATTTCTCCTCCTTGCCTTAGATGACTTGGGATTTCCTCAATGGGTCCATAATGGCTATAGAACTATTGACACACTTCTCTTTAGCAGTTAGATTACTATCCTTCTAATTAGCCTTTGGATGATTATACAGGATTCTCAATGATGTCTTGTAGTAATTAAGCTTGTAGTTGATATTGCAGTAAAAGTGATTGATAGAATTATTGCAGGCCTAATTTGTTTCCCCTCCTTGCATAAGATAAATGCTTTTAAAAAGTTGTTAGGGTACCTGAAATATCCAGGTTCAGTTCTCCACTAAAATGGAGTTCCCATCTACACCTTGTTTCAGTGCTGGGATTCAGCCAATTTGCACCACTTCTGGAGAACCGGTTGTTAACTTTCTGAGCAGTTTGGTGAACTGGTTGTTGGAAGAAATCATTAGGGCAGAGAACTGGTTGTTAAATTATTTGAATTCCATCACTGCCTTGTTTCCTTTCACTATTGCCCACTGATATCCTCCATTTTTGAGGATAGAATAGAGTTCTTTGAAGGCAGGGTGGGGAAAAGCGAATAAAAATATAAAGAAATAATTGTCAGTTTCCTAACACAAGATCTTTTTTCAGACATATAGGCAAGAAACTGAGAGATCAGATTTAATCATATGTCCATTCCCTTTTCTGACACTGATGAGAAATGCGTCTCTGAGGCTATCATGGCCATGGTATGTTACATGGTTTGCCAGAAGGGGACACCAATTCTCTACAATAAATAAATAAATAGTTAACTTCCAGTAGTTAATATTTCCAGTTTCATAATCTGTCTACACTTTATAGGAGACCATTTTCATTTCTGATTAAACCAGGAAATCACAACAGGGAGCAATTAGAACGTTGGCTAGAGATTTGATAGCTCTCTCCAGGGATGCAATTACAGCCTATAATGCTCATTGACTGTTGTGAATGTGTGCTTTACAGACCTTTAAACTAGCAGTCAGAAGTGATTTCAAATGTAGGTTGATGTGTAAAAGAAATAGGAAATTTTAGAAATATTCAGAAAAGAGTAATATGGCGCACAATTAGTAATTATAAAGCAAGTAGGCCTGGAATGGAATGGGTACAAAAATAACCCCCCAAAAAATTTCAGAAATGAAAGTTGAATATTGACATGGAGTAATCAGATCCACATTTTAAATAAGTGTTGATATTTAAATGACATGTGACACTGAAAAGGAGGTAGCTTTCTTCTATTAAAAAAATCAATAAGAAACCACCACAGGACAGAGCATGAGACATGGGAAAGGACTGCTTTAATGTCATTGCTACCATTTGCCTGGCCAAGTAAATTTTCCATCAGTGGAAACAAATATTTTGGACTTGCATCTCTTTCTTCTAGAGGAGAAAACAATTTTGGAGTGGAAAAGCAGCCTTAAGGGGAAAGGATCAAATAATCCTTTCTCGTTCCTTCTGCTCTAATCTCCCTTCCTTCCAGTTCATCAAGCTATCCATGACTGTTTTTTATAATGTTACCAATCAGTTCTATAGAGGGATTGCATTTTCAGTAAGTTTTATCTTCCCCACAGATATATTCTAAGACATAATGCTTCACCTATGATACCTCAGCTTTAAGGTTTGCATGATGCTTGAGTGTGGCTTACTTTTATACTAGCAAGATGTAATAAAGGGTGGCAATTCCTTTTTTGTTAGTGTCAGTAACATTGTGTGTAACTGAACATGTGTGCATTCATATGCATGCATCTAAAATTCTGTATAAATGTTTGATAATGTCCCGTTGATTTTAATTTAAAAAAACTGCTAAATCATTTTCTTATAGCCATAGCACTTGGATCAGTAAGGGCAATGCCCACAATTGTAGGATAGAACCATACTTACAGATTTATTTCTGAGAAATATGGAATGCTATGTCAAATAATTTAATGGTGATATGTGCACTGGGCTAAAAATTCTATTCTGGACACTAATGAAATGAAATGTTTACTTGTGTTTCAAATACTTGCTGCAAATTCAGCAAGGATTATCCTAACAGCCTAGCAACTGTACAGTATGCATATTGGTTTTGTGGAAATATGTGCTGAAGTCACCAAAATTCATTTAGATTAATGTTTAGGATGTTTTGGTGCAATGCTGGTAAAAATGACTCTTGTGCAAGGGTGCATAGAAAATTTGTAATTCAGGATAGGAGAACACTTTTGAATAATAGTATTTCATCATGTCAACCATAATTAAACCATGGAATATGCTAATACATTCTGTATCGATCATTAATTAATTCACAGTATTAATTCTGGACTAATTATTTGGGGATAAGCATAACAGTGCCATTAGTCACAATATCACCCCTAGAAATCAAATATTATGCCTTGGGACATTAATATTTGAGAATAAGAAAGTAAAGATCAGTTGCATTGATGCCCTATTCAAGAACTTCCCAAAGGCAACTAGATTGCATTGACAAAAACAGGATGCCAGACCAGACTCCATACACCTTTGATCTAATCTAGGAGAAATAAATGATGGAAAGGGGAGGGATTCATATAAACCTTTGCCTAAATTTAACAGATGTCTTGTGACAAATCTAGAGATCTCCTTATTCCCTTCAAAGTGAAATAAAGAGATTTCTATTCCTTTCCACTTCTTATGTCTTGGTAATCTAGATCAAAAAATGTTCAAAAACCAAGATCTGAAGTGTCCTAAATGAGCTGGCAGGTTAAGTCACTGAAGTGGAAAGGGGTAGGACTTCCTTCATTTCATCTTTGAAGGGAATAATGAGATCTCTAAATTTATCAGAAAACATCTGGGCAAAGGTTTACATGATTCCCCCATCCCCCTTATCCATCATTTATTTTTACCAAGGTGAGTTAATAGTGGTATTTTTAAAAGTACCTAATCCATGGGCTATATATTGCTTATGTCTGGTTTAGATAAAAGTATCTCTGCTAGAAGCATGATCAGATTCTCCAGTGCCTTTTAAATCCTACCCACAGGGAGGATGTTGTGCATTTATATTGTTTGCTCTGCCACTATATACTTGAAAACCCACTCTGTGTATCACACTGTTACCTAACAGAAAAACCATTTTACATGCCCTCAATCCCTCATTTTACTTCTACTTCCTCAAGAGACATACCTATGGCTGTGGCTAATGTTATTTCTTCTAAAGCTCAAAGTTACCATCTGGCCCAAGGAAATAAGAAACACATAAGACATAAAAGCTCACATCATTTCCTCAGTCAGTAATACAGTCCTAGGGTTGTTTTCATTATGACACTGTAACACATATTTCATCACTTCCCTTCTTCCTGTGTATCTCAAAAGCTCCATGTGAAGGTATATCTAGAAGATACAAATGAATCCTTGGGAGGCCTTGTCATGGTAGCTTTTGAGATACACAGGAGGAGGGGAAGTGGTAAACTGTGTGTTGCTGTTGCAATGTCACAATGAAGACTCTGTCCATGGCATATTGGTGGATGTTGTTGTAATGCAAATATGAAAGGATGGAGCTTGTATCGCTACATACACTTTTCATTATTTTAGCCTCATCATTTTGATTGGGAACAGACCCATATACTTTGAGAGTTAGACTCCAACACTGCCTTGTTGTTGTTGTTGTTAATTGTGAAGTCATGTCTGACCCACTGTGACCCCATGGACAATGTTCCTCCAGGTCTTCCTGTCCTCTACCATCCTCTGGAGTCCATTTAAGCTCATGCCTACTGCTTCGGTGAGTCCATCCAGCCACCTCATTCTCTGTCGTCCCCTTCTTCTTTTNTTGTTGCTCACCTGCTAGCCAAGATCTGACGCTGGGGCGGAGTAGATCGGAAGAAAAAGAGTTTCGTCCCACCACCACCCTCCGCCAAAGAGGCTCCTCCTTTCCAGACTTATCCCGGCGAATTTGCGCACGTGTGCGCGTGTATCAGAGCCAGCTGTGTGAGCACAGGTGTGCGCGCGCGAGCACATCTGAAGGGAGAAGAGGCTCCAGTGGGTTTATTCCTGCAAAGACTTTCTTTCTGCACTTCTTTCTCTTTCTCCGTTCTCCCCTCCCTCGACCTCCTTCTCCCTCGGCGCTCGATGGGGGGGAATGCGGTGGAAACCGCAGAAGGAGGCAACGTTTCCCCAGGGCTTCAGCTTCAAAGTGCGACGGGTCCTTCGCTTCTCTCTCAGCCGCGTCAGGCAACTGCAGGGACCTCGTCCTCCTTCGGAAACTGATTAAAGAGAGCGTTGGATGGGACTCCTGCCTTGGGTGGCTTCCTCGCCCAGGAGCGCGGCTTCGCACCTAACTAGGTGGTCAGCACCAGGGACAGATCCCGGCGCCCATTCTTCCCGTGCCTCCATCCTGTGTTCTGACTCTTGGCGCTTGCTAGCCAGACTCCAGGCGATTAAGGTCGACCACGATTATGGAAGCGGAGAGTTGGAATGAGAGCGAGCCCAACAGCACCCAGCTTATTTGCGATGGACCCAATGGGACCCTTGGGGAACGAGGAGGCAGTTTATGTTCTGGGGTCAGCCCTTCCATGATAACAGCCATAGTGATCATGGCCCTCTATTCCGTCGTATGTGTAGTGGGGCTCTTTGGGAACTTCTTGGTCATGTATGTCATCATCAGGTAAGAAGACTGGCAGCGGGGAGGAGCTGCCCGAGTGGGAGGGAAAGCAAAAGGGCTGCTGAAGCAAAGTACACAGGGAGGGAGGCTGGGGGATTTGATGATGGTGGTGATGATGATGATAGACCACCAAAGTCAAGGAAATGGTTCTGTAGTTGGCTCTATTGAATCTGGACAAGCTAAGTAGCAGAGAAAAAGATGTGTGGTTCTTCTCTTGCTAAAACCCCAAAGGCTTTGGAGGGGGGTTCTTTCTCTCTCCAGAAAGAAATTATTTGGTGGTTCTTCCCCTAATTCTCCCCATAAAAGCAAGCTAAACACATTTGGGATCAAATCCTACTAAATAGCATAACTATGAGTCTCCATAATATTGTTACATGTTTCGGGTAAATGATTATTCCTGATTTCCGTCCCAGAGGATTGATATAGCATCTCCATCCTGGCAAATACAAAAACACAAATTTGATTGTCAACTAAGTGCATTTTTAAGATCCAAAGACATTTTGAAAGCAGCAGTTCTTCTAGGATTATTCTGAAGAATAATTTCTAATTATGTGGTAGAAAGGATATGGGCATTTATTAGGAAGTAAGAGACTGAAAATCTTTGCTTAATATAACTATGCTTTGCTTAATGTAACTACAAAAAAATGTGTGCTTTGGGGAGAAAAAAACAAGCTGTTTCAAATGAGCATTTGTGCAGCATAAGCATTCAAGGCAAGCAAAAGTTATTCTGTGTTAATAAAGTTGTTTATGTGCCTGAGAATAATGTAAAAAAAAGTTTAAATGATTAGCTCAGACTATTTCTGCAACCAAAATCCAAATCAGATATAATGAAATAGAGTATAAGAGGTATACAAGGAAGTGAAATATGTTAGAGAGGCATTGGAATCCACAGATACGAATTGCAGAGCAGTTCCAACAATCATATCAGATGTTTAGTTTCCTATTTCTTTCTTCAACTGATCTTGGTGCCCAAAATCCCTTTCTTTGTATCATTTAGGAAATCATACTAAAAGAATCTAAATTCATTTTTCCAGCAAGAATATTCCTCAGCCAAAGAAATGGAAAACGGGCCTTCTTCTACAAAGATAATTATCCATTGAAAGTTTCTGTAGCGCAATCTGCCTCATATTTAAGCATATTTAACCAAGGTGGCGCAGTGGTTAAATNAAGCTTTTTTTGTTAGTTTTTACTTTTGTGGCAACCCTTTCTTCATTGTGAGCATTAGCTGTCCTCACTTCATCTTTACACTGAATGTTTCTATTCTGACCTAGGCTTCACAAAACCATGGCAGTGTCCTTGTCCCAACAAAACCCCTTTTTATTAAGCTAATGTGAATTCTTCTCATTCACATCCAGCAAAGTCCCGGCAAACAGTCTTTCAAGGGTGAATTTACACCCTTTACACTGCGCACACCCCATTTTGGGCCTAGTAGGCCTCTCTGTATTTACCTGGAAGCCAAAACAGGGTGTGCAGGGACTCCTGAAAGGAGTGGGACAGGAAGGGGTGGGGTCATCCAGCAATTTAACAATTGGTTCACCCACATTGTCCCGAACTGGCTGAATCCCACCACTGTCCCAGAGGTGGATCTTCTCTGCCATGACACCCTTTTTCTGAAACATTCCCCTCCCCTGACGTGAGGCTTGATCCTACCTTACTATCATTTAGGAAATTCCTCAAAATCTGGTTCTGTCCTAAGGTCTTTGGGAACTGGACACAATACTTGCTCTCTGCCTAGTTTGCAGATTTTTTAACTAATATTTTTATTTTAACAATTACTTTTTATCATGAATGATGGTTGTTTTATTTGTCAGCTGTTTTATTCAATTGTTGTACATCACCCAGAATCTCTTAGTATGAGATGAGTGGTCATATAAATTAAATAAATAAATAAATACATACATATATCATACATACATACATACATACATACATACATACATACATACATACATACCGTATTTTTTGGAGTATAGGATGCACCAGAGTATAAGACGCACCAAGATTTTGAAGAAGCAAATTTTAAAAAGTTTTTGCAATCTGCAGACCTCCCAAAAATGCTCCATTTTTTTGCGAAAATGGGTGCATTTTTAATCAAAAAAAGGGTATGCAGAGCCTTTAGGAGGTTTGTAAAGTGCTCCGGGGACTGTGGGGGGCAAAAACTAGAAAGAAATGGCCAATTTTTTGCAAAAAATGGGCTGTTTTTTGTCAAAAAAAGTGCATGCATAGCCTTTAGGAGGCTTAGAGAGTGCTCCTGGCGACGGGGGCAAAAAAACATTTTTGCTCATGTTAGCCCTCCCCAGCCCCCAGGAGCACTTTGGAAGCATCCTAAAGGCTATGCACAGCCATTTTTGCAAAGGGGGGGGGNACACTGCCTTGTTGTTGTTGTTGTTAATTGTGAAGTCATGTCTGACCCACTGTGACCCCATGGACAATGTTCCTCCAGGTCTTCCTGTCCTCTACCATCCTCTGGAGTCCATTTAAGCTCATGCCTACTGCTTCGGTGAGTCCATCCAGCCACCTCATTCTCTGTCGTCCCCTTCTTCTTTTACTCTCAATCTTTCCCAGCCTTAGGCTCTTCTCCAGTGAGTCCTTTCTTCTCATTAGGTGACCAAAGTTTTTGAGTTTCATCTTCAGGATCTGCCCTTCTAAAGAGCAGTCAGGGTTGATCTCCTCTAGGACTGACCTTGCAGTCTCATATATATATATAGAATTCTGAACTTGATTTCCCGTTATAAATTGCAGAGAATATAGGTTTCAAATAGACATGGACACCATGGCTAAAATGTCATTCCACCACCACCACCACCACCACCACCACCACCACCACCACCACCCTCTTGTTTTGCATGTACATGCCTTGGCTCAAAACTGAACCATACTAACTTGGGAGAGGAGTTCAGCTAAGGACAGAGAATGCAAATTATATGGATGGCATCCAGAGTTCCAATGAATGAAATTCTACTCATGGGACACACCCATTCAAACAGAGCGGAAGGGAATTTCACAGATTTGTGCTTCCTCACAAATTGTTCTTGTTGAATGAAGAAGCTTTTGGAACAATACTGGTGCAGAACTGTATAGAATGGAAGGATTGGGGAAGTCACCTTTCATTGTTAAAGCCTCCATTGCAACTCAGTTCTTTATTCATAGAGGTTCTGTGAGTCAGGAAAAGATAATTTGAATCTAAGGGAAGTTTAGTTCTTGGCATTCCATTACAGGGTAACATTTTATAAGACAGGAAGATATATTGATGAGTTACATAGGCCATTTCATCCAATATTACGTTTGCAAGGACATGTATCCAAATGTCTCTTGAAATCTCACAAGTAAAGCATGATATTTATGACCCACACAACTGATTTTATCCCCAAATGATAAAGAGGATAATTCTGAGTATAAAATTTCCAGATAGTAATAGCAAATCATGGACTCATCTTCCATCAATTTATATCATACCTTTTTAAAGCCTTCTGAGGCAAAAGCTATAAGCATATCTTGTAGTAACAATTTTGATGGCTGAATTCATGCATCATGTTAAACTGTTATGCTTTTGGCAGAGCAACTGTAGTTTCTAAACGATATTTTATGATTTAAAGTGTTGTAGGATTCCACAATATTGCAATTTATTTCAGAAAACAAACAAAATCTGGCTTAGCACAATCTTGAAACTTGAATTATTACCGACATGTCTCTGTCATTCTGTCTCTCTGTCTGTGTTTCTGTCTGTGTCTCTCTTTGTTTCTGTCTGTCTGTCTGTCTCTGTCTCTCTCTCTCTCTGTCTCTTTCACTCACTCTTTCTCTCTCTCTTTGATCTGATGAATCTACTGTCCATTTGGGGTGGGGGGGCTCAATCCACTTAAATTAAGGACAACTTACTAATTGCATCAACACACAAAGTCTTCCAAAATAAATAGGCCTTTGAAAGACTATTTATGGCAAGGTTTAGGCAAAGGTTTACATTATGAGATTTGGAAAAAGATGATCTGAAATATGGACTAATGAAACTGAATGGGCCCTTATACTGTGTGATACACTGCTTAAAATTGTACAGGAAGATTCTCTAAAGCAGGTCATTCCTAAAACATGAAGCACTATAAAAAAAAGTATTTCCAAGGACTTATTTCAAATACGGTCAGTATCTTTTCATTTCCTGGGACTAGGAGACCAGCATCAAAGCCTTCTGCCTTGTTTTTTTTTCCTTTTAGTCATCTTCCGCGGAAGTCACACATAAAGTTCATTGTACAACTTATTGGATAAGCATAACAAAGTTTCTATGCCTCACCACAAAAGCTTCTGGAGGCAAGTTGTTCCACTGATTAATTATTAATTCATTAATTGTTCTCACTGTCAGGAAATTTCTCCTTAGTTCTAGGTTAAATCTCTCTTTGATAAGGTCCCAACTGATACTCTTGTCCTTTTCTCAGGGGCTTCAGAGAATAGAATAACCCCTCCACTCTGGCAGCCCCTCAAATATTGGAAGACTGCTGTCAAGTCATTCCTAGTCTTTTTTTGGGGGGTGGGGTGGCCTAATATACCAAGTGCCTGAAACATTTCATCGTGTGTATTATCCTCCAGTCATTGTTATTGTTATTCTCTATATTCATTCTAGAGTCTCAACAGATTTTTTGGTATCAGGGTGACTCAAACTGACATTGGCCTCCCTCCATGTAGATGTAGTTCAATTGAGGAATTCATATTAAGTTTTGTTGGTCATCCACTTATGAATCTATCTGGTGATGATACTAACTAGCACATTTTTTTAAATTCTTATCACAAAGGTCTCTTTGTGGTCCACTAATGTGGTCATTTTGTCGAAGACTCCAATAAGGTTGGTCTGACATGATATGTTTTTGGCGAATTCATGATTTCTACATAGGTTTTTGCAGATCCATTGCTTGATTATCCTTTTGAGGATCTTGCCAGATTTCCCTCAGTGCATGACTGCACTGCTACAATTTCAATGAATAAATACATTGAAGAAATATTGCCTGTCATTTAGCTCCTGTCATAAATATACAACAAGACCCATGAAACAAAATTGTGAGAAAGTAATGAAGAAAAAGTGTATTTCTTTATATAAAAACTCTGCTCATAGGATACCCATTTTCAAATACAACTCTTGGCTTCCTTATCTTTTCCTATTCCAACCTGGCAGCAATAAAATAATATATGCATTGCTTTACAAAGAGGAAGTCATATCTACCTTAACAGACTGCCACAATTCTTTCTAGGAGAAAAAAAAGGACAGTTTACTAATATAAAACAGACAAATGGAATACGTCTGAACCAATTATATAAAATGCAATATGGAGAAAATGGGGAAGAGCATTAAAATGGTATTTATCCATATATTTGTTAGATTTATGTTCTATTTTTTCCTCCAGCAGCTTCATCCTACACCCACCCACCCCCAAAAAATCCACTAAACTAATAGGTAGGTTGAGCTGAAAAAGAGTTGATTAGCCCAAAGTCACCAACTTTTATAGCTTAGGGTAGATTTCTTTTAGTGCAACACACACTAAGCCAAAAGTCAAAAGTATTATTATAATAAATAGAGATTATATATATACATTATATATTCTTAACCCTCAGTTATACCAGCATAGACATAATTAGCTACTTTGGCTAGTGAGTTGTGATAGATGCTATTCCTTTCATATTAAATGGAATTGATTTTGCAAAATAGGTTTGCTTGCTTCTTTGTCTTGGGTATGTAATGAATTCAGTTTTATGACTTAAGAAAGGGCTAAGGGGAAATGGGTCAATTGATGCATCATAACTTTGCAGAGTCTCAAGTAACTAGGAAATGGATATGGCAAGTAATGGAATAATGGCAAGCTTGTTAAATAAGGATTTCCCCAATTGCAGACATAATGTATTTCTTTTCAACCCACTAATTTCAGGCAAGATTCCAAGGAAAGTAGAAAGCCTCCTCCAATCCAATCTACCTACCATAGTAATTTATTTACAGGACGAGAAACAAAAAGTTTAAATTACAAGGAAATAGATTTTGGTTGGAGAACAGGAATATTTTTCTAACAATAAAAGCTATTCAATAGTGGATATGACTGTGTCAGTAGATGAAGGGTTCCCTTTGCTAGAGATGTTTAAATTGAAATCTCCAACGTCCCTTCCAACCATCCATTCTATGATTCTAACACTGTCCAGTAGATTTTGTGAATCCCTCTCCCATTTTTTTTTGCTGTGTGTAAAAATACTTCAGCTTAACTACCTGATGTTTTTTAAAAAACCATTTCTATAGCAGGATGAAATTTCTAGATATCATAAAACAAGAAAGGTGGGGGAGGAAGAGGAGATGGTGATAAGATGGTGGTGGTGATGATAAAAGTCTCCTGTGCAAGCCAACCTACTTTTTTTCTCTAAAGAAAAATATATTTTTCTCTAAAGATGAGAGAACATCTGAATATTCTCATTCTGTTGAAAAGCAAACAAAATAAATTAAAACAAGGTGTACTTTTCCTATGCTAGTGAAAAAATTAACCTTAGACTTTAAAGCAGTTAATTTCTTATTGCTCCAAAGTGAAATTGGTTTTTCTTCTCTTAAAGACTGAAGAACTGAATGATGCAGTCAAATTAATTTGCATTGGGTCAAGATGAGACAACACCTGCACAATTTAATTTGAATAAGAATATTAATGATTCAAGACAAAGCATAGGGCAATGAAACAAGAAGGATTCAGGGAAGAGGACCAACAGCTAAGTTGTTAAGATGCAAACTGTACTGCTGACCCTAATTCCTATATTATAATGCAGTGAAAACATATTTGTGGATCTTAGAGCTAGGAAGGATGAAATGTTCCAACCATAAATTTATTCTTAGATTAGAAAACCTCAGGAAACTGACAAAAATGCTGTTAAAGAAGGCTTCATAAATATTCAGATTTTAGAATAAGATTTTATCTATGTAAATCTAACTCGGGGAATATAGGTATTGATTTTAAAAATTTCTTGCTAGTAGAATGTGGTGTTATCTCTGTTTGTCTATTTAAAAATATATGTCAATCATAAAAACAAACCCTTCTCATTCCTGTGGGTGGTATATGTCTTCGTCAATCTCATGTTCTCTGCGAGAGACCTGGGAGTTTGAAGGTTCTCTGTAGTATCTTAGCTGTTCCTAGCACTGCAATCTTTTGGACAGAGAGGTCTAATGTTGATCCTTGGATCTATTGGAGCCACTCTCTCAACTTAAGAGTCACAACCTTGAGTTCACTAGGACCACTTTGACCTTCTTATACTTCTTCTTCCTGAGAAGAAGTCTCTTGGCATCACTACATCAATCACAACCACTGTCTTCTGCTCCTTATCTACTACCATCATGTTTGTCTTGTGTGGTAACACCCTGCTTCTACCACAATATACCTGCCTGTGTGCCTGTCTCTGGAAGGCTACCATAGTCTTGTTATTCTCCATGAACTTCTGCAGAATCTTCCATCTGGACTTGGGAGGGACTAGCCACTATGCAGATGTTCCTGTACAAAATACCAGCTTATAGTCTTCCTGCTTGTATCTTACACCCTGCCACTATTTGTTGGATTGTCTTTGAGGTCTTTCTACACAGTCTGCACCAGATCCTGTCTGGTGTGGTAAAGACCTGCTTCTATATGCCTATATTAAGGTGCTTAATATTATAAGCACCTTAATATAGTACTAATATTATCCTGTCTGATGTGGTAAAGACCTGCTTCTATATGCCTATATTAAGGTGCTTCTATATCGTGGCATGACAAAACCACGCTCATCAAAATAGCGGTGATAAAACTGTGTCGCTAAAGCCGCGACGTCATCACTGTGTGTCATCATCGCCGCGACAACAGCACGGCAACAGAAGGGCTCTTTAAAACAGCGTGGCGGCAGAAAGCCGATTTAAATTAAGGTAAGGGTTAGGATTAGGTTTAGGGGTTTGCTTTAGGGTTAGGTTTAGG